AAATAGATAAAAGTAACACTCTCTAAAATTATTTATGCACAAATAATTAAAAAATTTAGAAATAAAAAAAATCGCTCCTATAAAGAGCAAATCATGATAAGGCCAATGTTCTTATACATGTATGTGCACAATTTTTCTGACCGTAAAATACATCCCCTCCTCCCCCCCCCCCTCCCTTTTCAGTGCTTCTGTTTGTTTGAATTTCATTGCCAATTCATCAATTTCTTTTAAAATAATATATTTAGACAGAAAATGACTTAATGTCGATTTACTGTGTCGAGCGAAATGCATGAAACCTGCAGAACACCATAACAAATAGATAAAAGTAACACTCTCTAAAATTATTTATGCACAAATAATTAAAAAATTTAGAAATAAAAAAAATCGCTCCTAAAAAGAGCAAATCATGATAAGGCCAATGTTCTTATACATGTATGTGCACAATTTTTCTGACCGTAAAATACATCCCCTCCTCCCCCCCTCCCTTTTCAGTGCTTCTGTTTGTTTGAATTTCATTGCCAATTCATCAATTTCTTTTAAAATAATATATTTAGACAGAAAATGACTTAATGTCGATTTACTGTGTCGAGCGAAATGCATGAAACCTGCAGAACACCATAACAAATAGATAAAAGTAACACTCTCTAAAATTATTTATGCACAAATAATTAAAAAATTTAGAAATAAAAAAAATCGCTCCTAAAAAGAGCAAATCATGATAAGGCCAATGTTCTTATACATGTATGTGCACAATTTTTCTGACCGTAAAATACATCCCCTCCTCCCCCCCCCCCCCCCTTCCTTTTCAGTGCTTCTGTTTGTTTGAATTTCATTGCCAATTCATCAATTTCTTTTAAAATAATATATTTAGACAGAAAATGACTTAATGTCGATTTACTGTGTCGAGCGAAATGCATGAAACCTGCAGAACACCATAACAAATAGATAAAAGTAACACTCTCTAAAATTATTTATGCACAAATAATTAAAAAATTTAGAAATAAAAAAAATCGCTCCTAAAAAGAGCAAATCATGATAAGGCCAATGTTCTTATACATGTATGTGCACAATTTTTCTGACCGTAAAATACATCCCCTCCTCCCCCCCCCTCCCTTTTCAGTGCTTCTGTTTGTTTGAATTTCATTGCCAATTCATCAATTTCTTTTAAAATAATATATTTAGACAGAAAATGACTTAATGTCGATTTACTGTGTCGAGCGAAATGCATGAAACCTGCAGAACACCATAACAAATAGATAAAAGTAACACTCTCTAAAATTATTTATGCACAAATAATTAAAAAATTTAGAAATAAAAAAATCGCTCCTAAAAAGAGCAAATCATGATAAGGCCAATGTTCTTATACATGTATGTGCACAATTTTTCTGACCGTAAAATACATCCCCTCCTCCCCCCCCCCCCCCCTCCCTTTTCAGTGCTTCTGTTTGTTTGAATTTCATTGCCAATTCATCAATTTCTTTTAAAATAATATATTTAGACAGAAAATGACTTAATGTCGATTTACTGTGTCGAGCGAAATGCATGAAACCTGCAGAACACCATAACAAATAGATAAAAGTAACACTCTCTAAAATTATTTATGCACAAATAATTAAAAAATTTAGAAATAAAAAAAATCGCTCCTAAAAAGAGCAAATCATGATAAGGCCAATGTTCTTATACATGTATGTGCACAATTTTTCTGACCGTAAAATACATCCCCTCCTCCCCCCCCCCCCCTCCCTTTTCAGTGCTTCTGTTTGTTTGAATTTCATTGCCAATTCATCAATTTCTTTTAAAATAATATATTTAGACAGAAAATGACTTAATGTCGATTTACTGTGTCGAGCGAAATGCATGAAACCTGCAGAACACCATAACAAATAGATAAAAGTAACACTCTCTAAAATTATTTATGCACAAATAATTAAAAAATTTAGAAATAAAAAAAAATCGCTCCTAAAAAGAGCAAATCATGATAAGGCCAATGTTCTTATACATGTATGTGCACAATTTTTCTGACCGTAAAATACATCCCCTCCTCCCCCCCCCCCTCCCTTTTCAGTGCTTCTGTTTGTTTGAATTTCATTGCCAATTCATCAATTTCTTTTAAAATAATATATTTAGACAGAAAATGACTTAATGTCGATTTACTGTGTCGAGCGAAATGCATGAAACCTGCAGAACACCATAACAAATAGATAAAAGTAACACTCTCTAAAATTATTTATGCACAAATAATTAAAAAATTTAGAAATAAAAAAAATCGCTCCTAAAAAGAGCAAATCATGATAAGGCCAATGTTCTTATACATGTATGTGCACAATTTTTCTGACCGTAAAATACATCCCCTCCTCCCCCCCCCCCTCCCTTTTCAGTGCTTCTGTTTGTTTGAATTTCATTGCCAATTCATCAATTTCTTTTAAAATAATATATTTAGACAGAAAATGACTTAATGTCGATTTACTGTGTCGAGCGAAATGCATGAAACCTGCAGAACACCATAACAAATAGATAAAAGTAACACTCTCTAAAATTATTTATGCACAAATAATTAAAAAATTTAGAAATTAAAAAAATCGCTCCTAAAAAGAGCAAATCATGATAAGGCCAATGTTCTTATACATGTATGTGCACAATTTTTCTGACCGTAAAATAAATCCCCTCCTCCCCCCCCCCCTCCCTTTTCAGTGCTTCTGTTTGTTTGAATTTCATTGCCAATTCATCAATTTCTTTTAAAATAATATATTTAGACAGAAAATGACTTAATGTCGATTTACTGTGTCGAGCGAAATGCATGAAACCTGCAGAACACCATAACAAATAGATAAAAGTAACACTCTCTAAAATTATTTATGCACAAATAATTAAAAAATTTAGAAATTAAAAAAATCGCTCCTAAAAAGAGCAAATCATGATAAGGCCAATGTTCTTATACATGTATGTGCACAATTTTTCTGACCGTAAAATACATCCCCTCCTCCCCCCCCTCCTCCCTTTTCAGTGCTTCTGTTTGTTTGAATTTCATTGCCAATTCATCAATTTCTTTTAAAATAATATATTTAGACAGAAAATGACTTAATGTCGATTTACTGTGTCGAGCGAAATGCATGAAACCTGCAGAACACCATAACAAATAGATAAAAGTAACACTCTCTAAAATTATTTATGCACAAATAATTAAAAAATTTAGAAATAAAAAAAATCGCTCCTAAAAAGAGCAAATCATGATAAGGCCAATGTTCTTATACATGTATCTGCACAATTTTTCTGACCGTTCCATAAGGAAATTTTGTTTACACTGAAACTGGAGAGAGTCAATGACTTGAAGGCAGCATGTGTAAATGCTTCCATACACGTTTGGACGTTATTATAATCGTTAAGGAATATTTCTGAATTAAATGTAACATCCCCCTGATGAAGACTGAAAAAGTACATAGTATTTTTTTTAATGATAAACGAGCTCTTTAAGAAGGGATAAAAGCCATTGACAAAACATTTGAAGACACAGAACTGAAGAAATATTCACCTCAAAGCCCTAGATAATTTTATTTTAAAAACATCAATAGCCACTTTTATATAACATCATTTATTATCTATCACAATATTAATTTTGAAAAGAATAACAGAAATTCAAAAAAAAAAACCCATCTGAGAATTGATTTAGAGGATCGTTTTCATAGGTATTAATTACCAGGAACAATTAACTAATTATAATCCTTAAGCTTACTGATGAGTAAAATCTCCGAAGTCTTTCCCATCACCCCTTTATATATTATGTTTATATACCTTATTACAATTTATCACACAGAAGAGGTCCAAAACAATTTTTCCCCTGTTGATTGATGTCTTCCAGTTCAGCTCAACATTCACCCTGTCAGTTACATGTGATTACTGTTTTCCAATATGATTAAAGATACATACCACAAACAAATTTTCTTATCTCCCATACAGAAGAGTTACATTGTTAATATTTTCATTATTTCTTTCAATCAAGGTCTAATTAGAAAATTTTAATTATATAAAATGTAAGAATAGACTCAAGAAAATGTTCCTAGAAATTTTTTAGTAACAAAACTTCATATATTTCTTAAATTTTCAAAACTTATTTTTAGCTGTAAAGTTACATTTCCCCACTTTTCACCAAATTTTGTAGCTTGGTCAAACATAAAGTTGTTCAACTAAACAAGTGTCACTTCTTTAGTCAGAGAGGCTCCTATATAAGCAAAAATATTTAAATTTGGAAGAAAAACTTTGTGTTATTAATCCTTAAAATTGGGGTGGTGGTCATAGTGACTTTTATAATGGTGCCTAGTAGGTACACAACTTAAAGAATATAATCTAATAAGAAATGGAAAATATTTTGTTTTTCACTTTTCAATTACTTATATTCGAATATTTCAAAATTTCATTATTATACTTAAATATTTCATAATTGAAACAAACAAAAGGTTGAGTGTTGCTCTTAGATAAAGAAAAATACATATTATTGATTTATCCCTTGAATATATTTCGTCTTTCCTTTTCTTTAAAAGAGCACCCTAATATAAAAATAGACTATCTGAATGCTTGAACTTTTAATTAAATTCACTTTTTCATTATTGAAATATTAAAGCACCCTTTGCTAACCTCAAAGTAAAGAGTAAAAACCCTATATTGTTTGTTCTTTATTCATTAAAATGTAACCTCAAACAAAATTCTAATGATTAAAAGTATATGTAGCCAAATATTTGTCAAAGAAAGACGGACTCTTAATTTAAATTAAGCTGTAGGTGATCGATGGATGTCATTGCAAGTAAATTAACAGCAATCATTGAATAAAACAGGGTAATGGAGGATAAAAACAAACAACTTGTTTACCTTTAATTCTACAATGAATACCTTTCGTTCTTTAAGCCAGGATTCTTACCTTCAATTAATTAAATGCTAAACCAGTCAAAAGACGACTATAACGTGCAGATTATTTGGCTTTTCCATCAGCAGTAGATTTATAATCTGAAATGAACATCAAGAGTGCAATATACCTGCTTTGTCTCTTACATCTTAATTTGGGAGCTAATGAGGTGGCCATCACCTCTAGTGGTCATCGCTGGCCGTGGGACATATCTCAAACCCTGACAATCAGGGGCCGAAAACAGTGTACACGGGAGTGTCAGATGAGGGGGTCCGCGTGTCTCGCCGTGAATTATAAGGCAGGGAGTTTGCTTTGTGAAATCTTAGGAAGTACACCCAACAACTTAACAGAGCTAACTGTTGACGTTAGCTATGATTACATTGCAATGTTTTCTCAAACATCGGTAAGAATTTTATGGTGAACCCACCCTAGCCACAGGTGTCAGGGTTTGAATAAATTTGATTCTGAACTACCTCAGGATGCTTGTATATTACTAACATTAATCATGGATCAGCTGTTCTTGAGAAAAAGAATTTTTAATTTTTTTGTTTGTTTTTTGTTTGTTTGTATAATCTAAGGTGTAATATTGTGATTCCACCATATCCCATGATTTGATCAAATTTGATTCTATACTACCTGATGATGCATGCATATGAATATCACTTATTATACCCCAGGGATTTCTTGAGAAAAAAAAAAGATTTTTCCTTAATTTTTTCCAATGTATAACTTTGACCGCAAATTGTGGCCCCCATCCTCCCCCAGGGACCATGGTTTAAACTAATCTAAATATGGATTATACTTGGGGATGCTTGCGTTTGAATAAAACTCATTATGGCCCAGCTGGTGTTGAGGAAAAGATTTTAATTTTTTTCTGTGTTAAATTTAATCTTCTATTGTGCTTCCACCATCCCCAAGGAGTCATGTTTTGAACAAATTTGACTTTGGAATACCTGAGGAAACTCTCTAACTATGGCCTTGATATTCTTAGATGAAAATTTCTAAGGATTTCCTATATATTTCCATGTAAAAGTTTGATCCAATAGTGTGGTCATCCTATCCACGGGGCTTGATTTGAACGAACTTGAATCTGCACTGTATCAATGAAATATGAAGATAACGAACAGTAATCAAGTTAAAAGTCTAAAGAGGGGGCAAAGGAAACACGGATATCTAGCTTAAAGCATCATAGGTGTGATTAGGTGCTATGGAGGGGTAAGCATCCCCTGTCAGCCGCCGAGTGCTCCTTGTCATAATAGGGCAAACGGAAAAAAATCCGTAGACAACCCAGTGCGTAAATAATGGCCTAACAATTTTAATGAAAAACGTCAGTCCGCATTCATCTTAATGATAGATTGTATTTGCTGAAATGGTTATTGTATCGACAATGGAACTTGCGAAATGCTGACATCAAACAAGACTGATAATATCCTTGTTTCTTCAACTTGTTTGTAAGTAGCTTGCCGCGTTTTAGGAATTGTTCATAGGTTGAACATGCTCTTGCGTATCGAATCAACTGGGGATATTAAATCCATATACAGGTGAAGAGGGTATATTGCTATATAAATAAGGGGAGTTGACGATAGAAAAATTGAATTCATCACTTTTATCATAAAGTTTCGTTGTTAGGTTACCATTAACGTATTTTTCTATAAAAATATGGAAATATGAAACAGATGTGTCAGACTCTGTGGTATTCTATATTTCACGTTCACTAGGATATACCGTGCTCGAGTCGACATATGAATGGAAGTAACCATTGTTAATTGATAATACGTCATTGATATATCTAAATGACGAGTTAAAGGCCACAGCAAGTGTTTTCTTCTTCTTATGTACAAGTTTTTGAATAAATTCTTATTCATATGAATATAAAAATAGGTCTGCTTATAAAGGAGCACAATTGGTATCCATGGGAATTCCGACAGATTATTGGGAGACCTGATCTCCAAAAACTACACAAGTTTTGTCAATTTGAAATTCAAGCATCATTTTAATATCAACTTTGGAGTACTTGTGTGTACAATCAGTTTTTTTTAATAAAATAGTTTTGCAAATGATCAAGGACAAGGTAAATAAATCCACGAGTCCTATTTTTATTGAAAACGCAGCTGTCTATGATGTCAAAAAGACTGGACTTTAATTTATTGTGGAGAATGGTTGTATGAGGTGTTGAAAAGTCGTATGTTTTAATGTAATGTTTTTTGATTTTGGTGATGTTTTTTAATTTCAGATTTTCTAAAAGTTCATTGGAGTTTTTAAGTATCCACATCTTATTTACACCACTTCTCGAATGTTTTGTAGTACAGTACTCCTGAAGTCTCTCCTTCACTCTGTTAATATTTTAGTAAGGAGTAAAGAAAGAGGCTTGGTAAAACATTTACTTGAACCCCCTATGTATCTTTGTTTGTGGGGATTTAATGTAGGTTAGGAATTCAGTATAAGTAATGGTTATCAAATTCAATTTGTTTTTGAGCGTATTTAAAAGAATATCTAAAACTACATATGATTTTGAAGAATTTCCTCCTTAGGAAGGGAGCTATGGGTATAAGTTGGATTACCACTTGCAGAATTACATTCCAGCTCCTCTTGAATACAATTAAAATAATGAGCCTTTCAAACAAAGACATATAAAATACATGGAAACTGCCTTGAAATATAAGCGATATTTGGGCTCGGGTCGAAAACGTGATAGAGGGCTCGGCAAGCCTCGCCCTCTACCACGTTTTCTTACCCTCGCCCAAATATCGCTTATATTTCAAGGCAGTTTCCATGTATTTTGTTTGGGTATTTTGTTTATCCTGCAACATATTTTTACGTGACCTCCAAAACGAGCTATTTTCAATCGATTTAGGTACATCTCCTCTGCAGTTGAAACTACGCCATGGCGTAAACATTGGAATATTCATGACGTCACAATGCCTTTCGAACGTCGGAATACATCCACGAGGCTTTATTAGGGCATTGACCGAATAAAGCTTTGGTTACCTTTATTAGGTCAATGCAAGGGGTAGTTGCAGGATAAAATGTTGTTACCTGCTTTGTCAGCTGCTTTCAGGATGCTTTCTTGTAAGTTACATCATTTCTGGCCAAGTTCTTAAGAAGAAGATTTTTAAAAGATGCCACAAGTTATCTCAAATATTTAAGTATCTTCCCTTAAAAGAGGTCTTGGTTTTTCATTTAAATAAACTTGAATTCCCTTTACCCAAGGATGCTTTGTGGCAAGTTTGGTTGAAATTGGCTCAGTGATTGTGGAGAAAAAGTTGAAAATGTGAAAAGTTTACAGATTGCATAGAGACTGACGGACGCCGTACACTTTTCGATCAGAAAAGCTCACTTGAGCTTTCAGCTCAGCTGAGCTAAAAAAAAAAAAGATTTATAAAGTGGGAAAATCGTTAATTGTCATGCTACAATCTATAGACACAAATGTAATAAATCTGATCTTTAATTGACAGGTATTTTCCTCCGCAGTTTGTGATAGTGAATGTTCGTCAACAGCCGGATACTGTTTACAACTATCATCTGGAGTAAACTACTGCAGAAAAAGTAAGCCATTTGGAAACTTAGATTTGCCAAAAATAAGAAATAATTCAGAAATATAAACACTCAAAAGTCATAGTAATTTCTTGTACTTTACACAATTTTAAGACCTTGATTCATCTATGATAGAACAGTGCAGTCATTATTCAAATGATTACACGTGTATTACGTGTAAATGCAACCTCTTGCATTCATTTGGCATGTATCAATATTTTATTTAATGCACTTTTGTTACAAATTTTATATTCAAATTTATTAGAAAAAAATTAAACTAATGTCTTACAAAAATTACCAATGTTCATTCAAATCATGCATTAAAGATATACACGCTTTAACTTGCGTCAGTTAAAAATAAAGTTGGAAGTTTATTTATTTTGTTTACCAAATAAAGTTACGAAAATATTGTAAATTACACAATTGGAAATGAACGCATTATAAAGATCTCAAATTATAATTATTTATTATCCTACTAGGAAAGTAATGCCTCTATTAAATTCATGCATCATGTGACACAGTCGCTACTTTTAGATTGATAAACAAAAATGGCGTCAAGAAAACGAGGTAGGCCGTTTGGTATACAAAATAACTTTTGACATGGATGGCATACGTTTTATGCTTAAAGATATTTATTTTTGAAAACAACCAGTATTAACCATCTACTCTGTAATGACAGATATTAACTTTTATTCAAAATCGTAGTCAAAATGCAACGTACCTCGTTGTCTATGATTTCCCGCGGACATTCGTGTCTATATAATGTTTACGCAATTCCTTCATCAATATTCATGAATAAGCTGAATTCTTAATTGCAGATCTTGCTTAATTGTTTTGTAATTACAACGTCTTATTTAGTAAAACTTTGTGGAAAGTAATTATTTTTTATTACACATCATGTTTTTCAAATCATTTAATCATTTTGTTTCACACACACACACACACACACACACACACACACACACACACACAAATCGCGTTTATATAGCGTGTATATCTTTAAGAAATGAATGTTTAATCGTCAATTACAGAGAATCCTACTTGTCCGACAAACTACAGGTTTTCGGCTCCCCTGAATTTTTGCTATCTTGTCGTCACCACACCTGCAGACTTTTTAACTGCCAAGGAACACTGTGAAAGCTTACATTCAAGGTTGGCTGTTCTTCCAACGATGGAATACATAGACTATTTAAGAGCAGGTACGTTTATTACAATGATTTTTTTGAATGTATCTACATTCCAAGTTGAAGACCCTGGTTATAATAGGGTTTGTTAAAATTTGACACTGTGGACTAACAAAATGGTTTCTCTAAGTTAATTATTAAATTTTTTGATACTGTTAACTATAAATAATTTTCGTTTTTTTTTCATACAATTTCTTGTAACTTAAATTTCAGTATACAAGTTGAAGCATGACAAGAATCCAGTAAAAACAATTAGTAACCACTTGTGTATATTTCTCTTGGTAGCTGATTTGTATTATAGCAAATGTAAATTTATTGAAAAACGTTAATTTCAGATCTAAATTTTGTTTCATTTTTGGATAATTTACTAAAAAGACGTCAATGGTAACCTAACAGCAAGACTTTATGATAAACGTGATGACTTCATCTTTTCTAACGCCATCTTCCCTTATTTATGAAGCAATATACCTTTATTATATACCCAACTGTTTGTCACTCAGTTTTACTGTTGAATTTATGCAATTTATGACGGTGTGATCCGACGTTCCGGATCACCACACTGTGGTTTTCTGAATCCATATCACCCCTCTCTAGCTGAAACTGATGACGTAGTACACAGATAAATGACGTTTTTATCCTCGCGCTTCAAAAAGTTCCTTGAAAAAATGGTTTGTTTAATGTATAAAAGTTATGTAATTTATCCAAAAAGTTACCTTTTATTACATTTTGCTAGTTGTAAAGGGATATATAATAAATTTATCATTATAACAGTAACGTGATCCGAAGAGCCGTATCACGTCTCGTTGACAGGCGCGGATCATCAGATCAAACTCGACGCTTCGCGTCTCGTTTGATCTGATGATCCGCGCCTGTCAACTTGACGTGATACGGCTCTTCGGATCAAGTTACTGTTATAATAATATATATTTATTTATCACCTGCATATTGGGTTTACCTATCTCAGTAATGCGAGACTGTTGATATTATATTAGCAATATACCATTATTACTTGCATATGGAGTTTATGTCTCCCAGTTGATTTGATACGAAAGAGCATGCTCTATGTATCTTTTCTCAAACAAGGCAAGCCATTGACAAAAAGTTGATGATACAAGGATATCAACATTCTCGTTTAAGGTCATCATTTTGCAAGTTCTGTGGTCGATACAATGAACCTGTTAGCATATACAATTTATTGTTAGGTCGAATGTTGACTGGCGTTTTACATAAAATATTAATCCATTATTTTCACACTTAATTGTATTCGGATTTTTCCGCTTGCCCGATCATGACCAGGAGCACACGTCGGGTGTGACCGGTCTACAGGAGATACCTTCTCCTCCATAGCACCTGGTCCCACTTCTAATAATTTTAGAGGTCCATGTTTGCTCTGCTTCCAGTTTGTATTGTTCCGATGGACTTTTGAGCGTTATCTTCTTATTTCATTTAATATTTTTCTAATTTTCACCTGACAGAAAGGACGGGTGGTTTCCTGAGTAGCCTGAGGTACATGGTTGGAGGTCAGTGGGATATGACTGCTGGACAATGGCGATGGTTGGACGGAAATTTGATTTTTGCTAATATCGATATTTCAAAATGCCGTATAACTCTAAATGAAGGAGTCATCGCTTGGGAGAACAAGTACGGACTGATGGATATTAGTTCTACAAACCAATTGGAGTTTTTATGTGAGAAAGTTCTGCATTAGGATCTGGATTCTGTGTTTTTGTGCTGTTTCTATAGATTTTTTCGTTGAATACTTTAATGAAATGTAATTTCCAGGAAACGGTTTTGTTCTTTTATCAAAATGTACAATTAACACTTTCAATGTGTTTAAGTTTTCTTGCCTCTAGTTGATCATGATGTTAACTTGGACTGGCGGAAATTAATTTTTCGTTTAAAGTCATCTATAAACTTTGAAACCTAATTACGAGGAAGGAGGGATAAAAGTTATACAAACGAAAATTCCAGAGATGAATATTAATTCATTAACATGAATTGAAGTACTCTGTACTGTAAATATTTTTGCATCATGTGGGCTCATTGTTTAATGTTCAAATTCAGTAAACTTGTTAGTGTAAATAGAAGGCTCAGCTCAAAACTACCTCACAGAAGGTCCATTGTTGTTTAAACATACGAAATGCAGTTTTAAGTTGATAGTAAAAGCACAGCGAAACAGAAACGTAAGCAAATGCCTTTTTTCCTTAAAGGCAATTTTCTCCTAAAAACTAGTAGTTTAGTAGTAGTGCTACTTGTTTTTGTTTTTCTATTTCCTTTGTTTTTATGACTTCTTAACTTTTTTCTTTGTACTGAGGAAGGGACAGGTCGTCCCGAAAATTTGACAATTATTATTGTTCGTGTCGTTGGTCATTTTTAGTGCTTTATATAAATTTCCATCCGTGACCTTGTATCTACTTAGTAGATCCAACACTTAGGATATACAGTGTTGTTGGTTTTTAGTGCTTTATATATATATATATATATATATATATATATATATATATATATATATATATATATATATATATATATATATGATTGCGCCCATGACAAAAGGGCCTTATGGCAATTTTTACACATTTTAAGTTTTTCATGGATATTAATAGAGCAAGGTTAGAAGTTGCCAAATCTGAATTTTTATGGCTCTACGTCAACTCTAAGTAGGTTTTTTCTTCATTTTTATCAATGATACTTTAACAGGTAAACAATGACGTCATTTTACTTTCGCACCAACGTCAAAAGTTTTCAGAGTGAACATGGCTTTCACTTTGCATTGTAATGTTACTACGGTAATAAATGTATGTTATTGAGCTTTTCCAGAAACATTTTTGAGTCATTGTCTCTTTTAATAATTGTATAATATGATAATAAATAGTTGTATTAACTATTATCCATCATGCAGTGATGTATAGAATTATGAGTGTTTGTTCGTTTGTTTGTTTTATATTTCACTATGCTGGAATGTCAGGAAAATCAAGCGGCTTCTGTTCAATATCAATTTATTCTCTCAAAACCAAAGTATTTATCTTGTGTAATAATCGTTTGAGAAACCTGTAAAATTCACTCGAAAATCGTCTCATTTTAAGCATGGCTTTCGATAGGACAAGATGTCAATTTTTATTTTTTTTTGGGGGGGGGGGGGGGGGGGTGAATCCAGTATAAATGATATCTCTTTCAAAATGTGAAGTTAAAAAATATTTCAAAAAAATTCTCGGGAACAACAATAAAATAGATGCTGGTGGGTAGTGAAAATTTGTTGTTTTTTTGTTTTTGTTTTCTAAATATAATTAGACAGAAAATTTGTGAAATGTAGTGAGTTACCGTATACGCTGTACAACAATTTAAGGACATTAAGTTGATACACTGCATGTTAAGCAATATTCGATAAAAAAAAATTTCAAACAAAAAATCAGAAGGACTTCTGCCCGCATGTGGTAACAAAACTTTTTTTTTAAATTGAAATGATACACATTTTTCCAGTCACAGCAAGAAAAATTTTGGAATAATTAATTTTAAGTTTAATTTTAAGGTTGATTAATTATAAACAAATGGATGAAAAATAACTCACATGCATTAATGAAAGGAACAGATCCAGGTTGACCAGTAGTTGGATTGTTTGGGGGGGGGGGGGATTAAATGTTAAATGACAGAAACATGCCAGAACCATGCAATACTTGTAGTTAACATGAGTTTAATAGCATACGAGGGTTGTCGTTTTTTTAAAAATCTTCCTACATTTTAGGTGTGCAGGGGGGGGGGGGTGCCTTCCCACCACCAACCCCATAACCTCCAAATACGTCATTTGGTTAGGTTTGAAATAATATTGAAATAATTCCTCAATTTATTTTTGCACTTGAACTCTCTCCTTACGTACATATATATGAGCAGAGTCATTTTCAAAACAAACACGATCATGAGCTCCACATGCCTGGAACTGGAAACTTAACTGCTATCAAATCTAGTTAATCATGAGAAAAATTGCATCCTAAAATAACGATTTTGTTTGATTTTGTAAAATCAAATGGTTTTAGAAGAACATGTATACACTGGGTATTAATAGATATCGGGTATTTTATTATCATTTCAACAAATTTTATCCGAACTTTGAATGAAATCAACATGTCATTTTTTAAAAATAATATCAAATAGATTTTTTAAAGAAATACATCATAAATAATTATATATATGTTGTCGTAATGAATCAATGACATGCAGATTAATTAATAGATTTTTTTCGGCTGGGGGGTGGGTGTAAAAATTAATTGAAAGTTTTATATATCCAGTCATTTAAATGCGACTGGTTCATAATATTCCTTGACTGGCTGAGTTTTTAAATGACAAATTTTTACGATGTGGCACACATTTAGGTACATGTAAACATTGTTAAGTGATGGTGTGTGTAGAATCCCCCCCCCCCCCCCCCTATTTCTCGCGGCTTCTTTATCGTATGAAATTCTAATGTTATTGTTTTCAAATGTTATTGTATATGAAGTTTTAATAAGAAAAAGAGTTTTAGATTGATAATAGAACTGTAATGACATACAGTGCTGAGATTCTATGAATGACAAGGATTACATATATTTGACTTTTAAGTGACTAAAAACTGCAGATAAAGCTAAAAACTCTGAACTTTTGTATGTACAACACGAGTACCAAAATGTTATATTTTCGAGTTACTGAAAATAAATAGACAGCAAAAGAAAAAAAAAGAGATAGATATTTCTTTTCATAATACGATATTGTTGTGTTTTTTTGAAAATTCGCCTTTTCATTAAAGTTTCACATTTCACATTGCATTAATAAACTGGATTTAATGTAACATCTCTCTCTCTCTCTCTCTCTCTCTCTCTCTCTCTCTCACATCAGGTATACATACATGTAAACTTTTTTTTAGCTAGAAAAATTAGAACAATTTTATTTCATTCGGTAGTTTTTGTTTGTTTTCAAGTACTTACATCGGAAGTGGCAACAACAAAAATAAGACGAAACAATTTTTTTTTTAATTTTATTTTATTTAAATTTATGATCATTATTACTAAAAAAAAAAAAAATTAAAATTCAAGTTATTTTAAAAAATAATTTCATGTTAAAATAAATAGATGCACATGTAACAGATTTAAAAAATAAATGAAAGTCTGGTTCAATATAGCAACTATTTCCTATTCTTTATTCTATATTTTTTTCTCTTTCACTTTGACACCAGCTAGTTCCATGAACTTTCAAAAATACTTTTAAAGAAAATATAAATATAATACTTACAATTAAAACGTTTTCTAACTGATGATAAGTAAGATTTTAAAAAATATATTTTAAACTACGGGAGCAAATTTGTATGAGTTTGTTGATTTTGATAAAAAAAAGTCCCTCTCTGGTACCTCTCTTGTATCTCGCTTGTCAGAGTTACCTCTCTTGTTTTTATTTATAGCTCTTAAAAATAATATCACGTCTGTCACTCGTTCGTACTTTTGCTAGATTTGTGAAAACGTACAAGAATACTGTTCTTTTCTGTTGGAAGAAGTGTGATCAGTTTCAAATTTTTGGCAATTAAAGCATTTTACAACAAAAATTTATGCACGATGTACCATTGCTTCAATGTTTATATGATCGATGTGTTGAGAATGGTGGGGCGGATCTTATACAGGAAAACGATTTCCTCTGCAATATTTTGATAATATACACGTGTCTAACAAATAACTTCAATTTGTCTATATAGCAAAATCGCATTCGTTCATCCATATTCAATTATCCAGAAAATCACCTTGTCTGAAGCTTCTATATACATGTATAGGAAATGCATATAGCCCAGATCAGAGACAAAAAAAAGCTATGTACAATAACATGTAGTAAAGAAACGGGTCTCGAATAAAATTCTAAATATTTTAATTAATATCAGTGGACTAGAAGATTAAGACGTGAATTAAAAAGATATAAATGAAAATAAATAATTATTTCAATATTGAAACAACGACAAAAGTGAGCTAGACGTGTCAAAACGTAAAACACGTGGATAAAAAAATCTGCGTCGACGCTCACCGTCTGCAACGTCATATCTTTATGACGTTATTTCTCTGTTTTAGCAAAATTGCCATAAGGCCCTTTTGTCATGGGCGCAATCATATATATATATATATATATATATATATATATATATATATATATATATATATATATATATATATATATATATATATATATGTATGTATGTATGTATGTATGTATGTATATGTATATATATATATATATACATTTGCAAATGTTTTCTTTTATATAACACTATTAATAGCAACGCGTATCTATATCCGTATAAACACGGGTTCCTTGCGTCATAAACGTTCGACGTAATTTCTCAGTGACGTCATAAAGGGTCGACGCGCAATCAATGGATCAAATACGTGCCGTTGAGTTTGAAAAATAAAACATTTCACGCGTTAAAGATTGTAATCAGGAAAATATATAATATGAATAAGTCATAAATGTAAATATAAGTAATAATGTATCATTTTTAAACATCTATCGGGAAATAAATACGGGTTGGTACGAGATCAAATTTACCATAAAGCCCTTCGGGCTTTATGGAATTTGATCTCGTGATCAACCCGTATTTATATCCCGATAGATGTTTAAAAAATGATACATTATTTCTTATATATATATATATATATATATATATATATATATATATATATATATATATATATATATATATATATATATATATATATATATATATATATATATTAGGGATGTCAAATCGGTCAATTTTTGATAATAGGTTACTCGGACGTTTTTCCGATCGAGTACCCGGGTACTCGGTAAAAATACAAGTGTGTTAATTTTCTTGAGCCCCGTTAAATTCCGCTAAACCCCAAAGCTGTTTTTATCACGTTTATTAATGTATATTAACATCGATTCCAACGTAAATGCTTTTTGGTACTAAATGTATTTATCAAATAAACACAAAAGACACAATTAATACATCAAAAATTACAAATGGTTTACGGATCTTGTTTAGGATCTATTTCATCAAAAGGAGGACAATCTGATACGCAGGTATGTTATTATTAGACTAGCCAAAGAGAAGGAACGGACGTTGTCGGGATTGCTAGTCTAATATTCTGGTAAGTTTAGTGTATACAGGGGAAACAATTTCATATGTTGATTGTTTCCCCCATAGACACTTAACTTACAACGCAAACTGACTTTCAACATTTATTTTGAATCTTTAGTTATTTCTAAATATTTCGTCACTTTTGAAGTGGGTAGCGGCATTTCTATGCATGTCCGATTTCGCTGCGTATATTAACTAAATAATTTGAAAATGATTTAAAGATAATAGACCATCGATGTTCACTGAAAACAATGAAGCCATCCAAAAATTAAGGACCACAATAGGTGAGAACAGCTGGGTGATTGATCACTAATTACTATATATACACAGCCACAGGCGATAATGGGTGTTTTACTGGTGTAGAGGACTACACGCTATAATTACCGTATGCATATTTAAGTTAATTTTTGATAAGTTTTTGATAAAAATAAGTACTTTGAAATAAGAAAAAATACACATCCGAGTAACCGAGTACCATTTTTAGTATTCGATACTCGGACGTTCGATGAAAGTTCTAAAAGTTTTGGGGTTATATGTGACCAAACAGTTACTTATTCACACCTATTGTTCTATACCTAATTATCAAATGTGTGCAAAAAGGGAACTCACCGGAAAAGCAGTTCATGTTAATATGATAATTGTTTGGTAATTCAGCACATGTAATCATACTTATCCATGCCTCACCGCGCACAAGGTAGTGTACTGTTACTCAGACAATGGAAATACCTGTATTTGCTTAAAAGTGTTCAAAAGCAGCTATGTTTAAACTAGCTTTTAAATGTCCATAGTGCAAATAGTAATAGTTGCAGACTTGCAAATTTTTGTGTATTCTAAATAAAATGCCGACTTGTAAAAATTTGCATTAAAATAGCTTCAGATAGGTCTTTAAAACGGTTTATCTATAACCTTTGATCCGATAATGAGCAATCAATCAAATTAAAATAGTTCTTCAAGCTCAAGTACGTCATAACGTGGAGGTATCCCATACTACCTTAATGATTAAATAAATGTTTTAGTGGCCCTTTGAGATTTACTTTGTGAATATTTATCAAAACATAGAAATATCAAGTAAAAAATATTTTAGCAAAATATTATTATCATAAGTGAATAAGTAAAATTCATATGAATAAAAATTGATAAATCATTATGGAAATGAATACACATCATGTTATAATAGATATTACAAACTATGAAACACAACCTTTAATATATCTATGGCTGATTTAAACGATATTTATTCAGAATACTTCATAGACCGGACAACCGGCATACAAGGCCTATAAATACCCTCTTTATAATTTAATGATTATAAATTATAGATCTATGACTAGATGGAAAATCAAGATAGTGTATTTTTTAATAGTCAGCTGAAAATTTCTTAGTAACTTTGCATTCCTTCAAAAAAGTCGCATGTCATTCACATTATCACAGTTGTGTATTTTCATTAGCTGAGACAGTTTTGCATTCGTTCACTTAAATATGACGTCATACGTTAGAACCTGATATTTATATAAAATAAGTGATTTACGTCATTTGTTTTCCCCATTAATGAGAAACGCTAATATGAGTTATTTGTAACTAATTAAATGTGGAAGAAACATACCGTCCCTTAAAAAAATCGATAATCTAGTAAATATTTCGAAACAAATATTAGAGAGAGAGACCAAATTTGTTGAAAGAATTAGAACAAACAGGGATAAATGTTCATACAAGGTCAAATATTTTACATAACCAAAGACCTTCACTTCTTAAAATCAAAATGTAAAAAACCTTAAACCAGTGAAGGCAGCACTGCATTCAAATGGATATAAAAGATACACTGTTTGTGGTAGGTTTCCTACATATCAGTTTTGGAATGAACGAGGAGGTCATAACCTCTAAAGGTCATTATTGGCCTTGGGGGATATCACAAACCCTTCAAATCATGGGCCGAAAACAGTGTACACGAGAGTGTCAGATGAGAATTTCATGCCAGGCCGTGAATTATAAGGCGGAGACCCTTCAGTGTGAAATACTAAGCAGCACGCCTAACAACTTAACAGACCTAGCTGATAACAACAGTTACGAATACATAGCAATGTCAACACAGACAACGGTAAATATTTTGTGTCAATTATTGTGAAAAAATATCTCCCTTGTTCGAAGCATTTCAGTATGGAAGATCATTAAATGATTTAGTTTGGTAGATCATTTAATGATTTAGTTTTATAGACCATTAAACATTGTTAAATGAAAAAATGTGTGGCAAGTTACCAGATGTAAAATTTGGCTCTCTGCTTGCGTAAAGCCAATAATTTCGTAGTTTCTTTAGCGAACACGGAGTTCCATTAAGTTGATATTAGTTCCACTGAATAGATCTGTTAAAACCTTAATACCAGAATAACTCATGTCATGAATGTAGTAGTGAGTTGAATTTGGAATGAAATACCGGTAAGAGTAAAGGGAGAGGGTTAATCTTCGAGATGGGTTACATTTGTATATCACATCCAATCAGTTAACTGAAAAATGACTGGAAATTGACTGAATGGCATAGCTCTCCCATTCAGTCAACTTTCCAGATCATTCAGTGAACATTCATTTACTGAATGGCTCAGTTCAGCTTTTATATGTTTAAATACTCATTTATTACGTTAGAGCACAAAAAAGATCAAAGTTATCTTGACTGTAATTATAAGCAAGAGCTGCAAATTTACTTAGTGTAAGTTTTACGGTCGATACAATGATCTTGTCAGCACATACAACCTATCATTGAGTCAAATGCTGACTGACGGTTTTCATACTAATTGTTAGACCATTATTCATACACTGAACTGTCTACGGATTTTCCCCGTTTTTTTTTTTTCGATCATGACAAGTAGCACACGGCTGGTGTGCCCGGTCGGCAGGGAATGCTCACTCCTCCATGGCACCTGATCTCATCTCTAAATTTTGAAATCTGTGTTTGCGCTGCTCCAAATTTGTATCGTTTCATTTGACTTTCGAGATTGAATACTGTTCGTTATCTTCATATTTCATTAGTGAAAAGTTAAGCCCACTACTGCCAAACCGCTATAATAAGCCAAAAGATAAATAATGCTGTTGAAATAATTTTAATTTCCCCTTTGATTACAACATTAACGTTTCAAAGACAGATATCAAACTATTCACAACCTTTAATTTACCTGAAGATAATGAGTTTTAAATTGACTAAAAATAAAATAAAATAAGATGAAAACATTCACGATATATATTTGTTTGAAACATATACGTATTTTTTACATGAAAGTGAATTTATGTTCATTGTTCATAAACGAAGACATATCCTTACGAATAAACTTTTTTTTAGTTGTTACTATGAAATTTCTTTGACAAAATGTTGCCAATGTAATGGTTTGGACCGTGAATATCGGCCTGAATAGCTTAGTATTTAGAGCACCTGACTAGTGAAGCAGGGGTCCCGGTTTCGATTACCCGATCGAGTAAGAGATAACCTCTTTAAAAAAAATATAGCTGTCTGTCCCTGTGCCATTTATTTTTATTCTGTTTTCTAAAGAAAAGGTAATAACCCGAACGATATTGTTTTTTCCAAGGATACATAAATATCAAATTCGGAAAAATCATGTGTTCGGTAGTAGATAAATGAAAGTATTCTTCAGATTTCACATTATTTCTTTTAAAAATGAGTTCATATATACTAGTATTTTGGTCGGACTGCGGTCATTGAATTCTAATGAGCTTTACGCAATATCCATTATTGCAAAGAAAAAAAAATTAAAAAAAACTAAAAAATTATAAAATTGAATGGAAAATTCTGCATGTTATAAAACAAACAACGTTTAATTTTACAGGTGTTTTCCTCTTCAGCGTGCAACAGTTCGTGTGGTTCGACTTTCGGTCTGTGCGTCCGACTGTCGTCAGGATTAGACTATTGCATAAATAGTAAGATTTTCTTATTTCTGAATCATTACTTAAGTAGATATATTTAAATTTATGAAAGAACAAAAACACAAAATCACAATCTGAAAATAATAAAAAAGCTTCATGTTTTTTTTTAATTATAAAGTAAGTATTCCTCCCACAGAATTTTAGAGACAGAGGTAAAAATTGTTGAACAGCATCTCTAAAAGGTTCAACAGTTTTCTTAAATGAATTATCAGGACAAAAAGAAAGGGGAGAAAATATTTTTTCGATTTATTTTGATGTAGAATGTATTTTTTTGTGGTAACAGAATATCGAACCTGTCCATCAAACTACCGCTACTCGCCTGCCCTGAACTTTTGTTATCGTCCTTTTGCAACACAATTAGACTTTGCCACCGCCAGGAGTCACTGTGAAAGTCTAGGGGACCGTCTGGCTGTCCTTCCAACAATGGCACATGTAAATTTTATCAAAGGAGGTATTTTAAATTAGTAGAACTTAACAAAAAATGGTTAAAGTAAAATATAATAATAACAATAATCCAGAGTTTATGATATAAGATAATAATGTAAAAGTTTGAAAGCTTTATTAAAGTTAAACAAATAAATTTCTTTCTTATCTTCCTTGTAAACTAAACGTAATCGATTATTAATGCAAAACATTTCCATGAGTATTTAAAACTGTCCAAGTTTTGGGGAAAAAACCACATAAGGTTGGAATTTATTCCATGACACCTAATCTAACCTCTGATGATTTTAAATGTCCGTATTTGCTCTCGATTTGTATTGTTCAATGGACTTTGCGTTATATCCATATTTCATTACTGCTGAATTGCTATTAAAAGATGGAGTTGAGAATGTTTGCCTTGGTACCAATGCAATATTTATATAGAAGTACAGAAATAACAATTATTTACCTTTTCTATGGAATATTATTATAGAGAAACTGAGTGGACACCTGGATGGTCTGAAGTATTGGTTGGGAGGTCAATGGGATTTTGCTGCAGGAGACTGGCGATGGTTGGACGGAAGTTTGATATTTAATTTCATTGATATATCATTATGCCGCATTCTGAAAAATTTTGGTGCCATCCTCTGGGAAAAAAAATATAATCTAATGGACAGATTGCCTTCAAGAACTGAAAAATTCTTGTGTGAAAAAGTGTTGGATTAGAACTGAATTTTTCTTCACAGAATGAATTGTGTTGCTGAGAAGTTTCTGTTTACCTTCTGCAATATAGAATGACAAATGATCATTAAGGTTATATATATATATATATATATATATATATATATATATATATATATATATATATATATATATATATATATATATATATATATATATATATAATCCATTTCTGGCAAGCGCTTTGCCATATTAGGCTCGTTTTAGTGTAGGAGGAGCTTAATATGGAGAAAGTGCTTGCAGTAAATGTGTTACTCCAAGGGTAAAACAACCGGTCATTATTCCGATATTGATTTCTCATCAGCATTACTTCCAAGACGGCGACTGAAAAAGACTTAAAGTCTATCAGCAATAGCAAAGGAGACACTTCGAAATCTGAACACTTATTTCGATTTTATCTGAAATTAAATGCTTTGTTTTATATAATGGAATATCACATTTGTCCTTTAAACTACCTTTTCTCAGCTACCCGAGCTTTTGTTATCGTTCTGTTACAACACTGGGAAACTTTGCCAACGCTAAGAGACACTGAATGATTAAAAGACGAACTGGCTGTCCTTTCAAACATGGAACACGTAAATTATATCAAAGGTTTGTTCATATCGTGTTCGATATCCTGACTGTAATTATGAAGAGGCAGTACTTGTCAGTACTTGTCACTTGTCAACGAGATCCAGTCATGTCGAGATGTATAGGTATCAATTAAGAAATTACGTTATTCAGTGAACATGGCGTTATGAATAGCAATTGCTCTATTGGCATATTCCATGATGCGGTATAGCAGCAGATGTCAAGAATATCAGAGGATATCCTGGCCTGCATGAGGGCATGGGTGCTTGTCTCTAGTGAAGAAAAATATGACAATAAAATAAGTAAACCTGATTAATAATAATTTATCCACTTTATCTCCAATAAATCACATACAATATATATGCTATTTCCTTATTAAGCATAGTTCCGTCTTCAAATTCTTTTTTGTTTTGATGCTGTTGTGACGCGCCATGACGTCATCGTCATCGAAACTATGAATAACAATATTATGAAAAAAGAGAATGTTTTTACATTGATTTAAACTTAAGAATGATTTAAACTTAAGAATGTTTTTGTTATGTTTCTTTAAATTCTTAAAATTCTTTTCAAGAGTTAAAACGTTCTTGAAATAGATATACTATTACAAAAAGTTCGCTTTGTCTGAACGTAGAAAAACCCTAGCGTGAAGAGTTATCGTTCTATGCAACAATATGCATAAAATGAACAAATAAATTAAAGATATAGAGCTCTGTTTAATTTGTAGAAAGATTTATTTTACAATTAAACACGTTGACTAAAATTATTATTTTTTAAAAATTGAACACACTTCAGTAATCTTAATCATTTTAAATTTCTTTTTTCCAGGAGGATTCCATTAAAAACTTTTAATTTTATTTCTTTTACACACCATTCCATATTTATTTTCAATAGTGAAATACTGTAATTTGTTTATTGAATAAAAGTGATATTCTCTCACAGTGTGAAGGGATATCAAAATGGTATTCTCTCACAGTATGAAATGATATCAAAGTAAGTAAAAAATAATTTATGGCCTGTCATAAGATAGAGATAGTAACTAACCATCTTGATTGAGCTAAAACTGCAAATTTCTTCCCAAATATGTTGCTAAAATCCATGCTATGTAATGTTTTCAATCTCACAACTGCTAAGCTATGACGTCTCAACCGCTCAACTATGACGTCAAGCCTATGACACTGTGTTAAGAAAAGACAGAGGCAAAGGGAAAATCAAAGAAAATGTAGTAAACAGAAAATTCAATGTTTTGTATATGAATATGGAATTTATTCCACTCGTGAGACAGAATTTTTTTTTATATTTTCACTCGTGCTTCGCACTCGTGAAAATATAAAAAACTCCTGTCCCACTCGTGAAATAAATTCCATATTCATCTACAAAACATTGAATATCCTCTAGATATACTTCTGAATGTGTTGTATAAGTAGTGTAGCTTGTACTGCGCCAGTGTAAGAAACGAAATGCACTTATAACAGAAGAAGTTGCGTTCATGGTGCTATGAACGCAATTGGTGAGTGCAGGTTCATAGTGGAGAAAACAGAGCGTATGCAAATATAACAAAATGACTTGACTAGATGAGAAAGAAGTTGGTGTATCTCGACAAAAACCAGAAAATTATCTTGACTTGAAGAGAAAATTATCTTGACCTGACGCGATGTCTTATGTTGACAAAAATTATGCTCACTCTTCCATGGCAACTGATCCCACCTCTGATGTTTGAGAGGTCCGCATTTGCTCTACTTCTGATTTGTATGGTTTGAATGGATTTTTGAGCTTGAATACTGTTCGGTATCTCCATATTTCATGTGGATATCAGGGTTCTAATTGGCGACTAATTTAGTCGCCATGGCGCCTAAAAATTATGATTGGCGACCATTTTAAATTTACTTGGTGTTCGTCAAATTACTGAACTATAAATATTTTCAAATTTTTCTTTATAAAGAGCAGAAAAGAAGTTTAAAAGTTAGAAACTTCAAAGTGACATGTCTCTTTATATTGACTAATATCATTTTTTAATTTGATTTCTAAGAAAAATTTACCCGGCGACTAAAATTTTTCATTGGCGACTTTTTTTTTTTTTTTTTTTTGATTAGAAGCCAGTTTTAGAAGTCACATAGAGGCCTTGATGTTATAAATTTGCCACAAAAAAATACAGTAATTCTAAAAGAAAAAAAATAAATTAGTATTCAAAATCTAGAAAACAAAATATTTAATCTAAGCTTAATAACAAATCAAAAGCTAAATATTGCAGTTATTATGTTTATGTTATTCAAGTATAACGACCATATTATGTACCAAATAAATGAATGGTTCGATATTTTTAATCGCGTCCTATATTTTAATAAAGAGAGAGTCAATGCATATTTTCACGAAGAGATTTTTATGAAGTTCAAAGTACTTTTTACAATATCTTGAATACACATGCGCTGCCCATAGACTTCAATGTAAAATTCAAGGTGCAATTAATTGGACATTAATCAATTTTTTTTAAAAATTCCTTTGGTGAAGTAATTTTGTTTAACACCTTCAAAATGCTACAATGATTAAAAATATCGGACCATTCATTTATTAGCTACAAAATGTGGTCGTCATACATACCTTAAGTTTAAATTTGCTAAAAAAGATATATATATATATATATATATATATATATATATATATATATATATATATATATATATATATATATATATATATATATATATATATATATATATATATATATATAGATGCTGTAAACATAAGTAACATTGCTAATCACGAAAAGGTTCATTCTTGCATTTGATCATACATGTATTTTAAGATGAAGTCTAGGCCCTGTATTTCCTACAAATATATACTAACTGTTGCATCCAAACTTTCAATATAAACAATCTACAGTGTCTTTATATTGATGATCAAATTCTACTAAGTGTTCTTGTGTTCTTGTTCACCCTCTTTTTTAAACTTAAATTCACCTGGACACATCATTACTGTTGATGTAAATATAGTTTAAAGTGACGACTTGACGGCAATCATTTTAAAGGTCCAAAATTTAGAGATCCCTGATTTTTCAAATAGAAACAGAACTTGATTCTTATCATAATTCAGTCGACGAGTATACCAAACGACAGACTAAATATGAAAGGAAGACCCTGCTATGTGGTATATAAAACTTTAGATGTACATTAAGTATCATGTTATAAAATTAAATGGCTAAATGCGTTATCTCTCTGTGGAATGGAAATTACTTAAGAAGAAGAAAGACTACATAAACAATATGAGATGGTTCCATTTGGCAAAGAAAATGTAGTCTTTGTTAGTGAAACTCATTATTACTAGATTCTGAAAGAAATTAATTCCTTTCAAAGGATGAAATTCTTCAAAATCACATCAGTTTCAAAAGCCCAGTCAACGGAAGTAAAGTTCAGTCACCGTATATACTGGATTCCAAGAACTTCTCTATAAATCCTCACAAACATAGAAACATTGCAGAGTTCAGTAGATTTTCTATAAGACCCCACAAAAATATCAGCTGCTGTGAAAGAGACATTGTTTCAAAATTAATTCAAGATGTTCAACGTAAATATGGATTCCTGAAAACTTTTTTGAAAATTTTAAAATCCCAGTTTCCCCAAATTCAAAGCATAAAAACTTTCACCTTTAAAAGCAACTCTGTAACTACTAAATTTCTTTGACAGGCATGGTCACAGATTTTTATGAACTTAATACAATTATTGCTGTTTTTGAAATCAATACTATGATTTAGACACCTTAGGAGTACAATATTTAACGACCCAAAGGGCCAGAAATTTTCCTGATCTGTATTTAGTCCAATGTAGATAAAATAAAACCTTATATTCACTTGATAGGTCACGTGCAGATAAACATAACGTAGAATTTTTTCTGCAATGTTGAATCTCAGCCAATCAGAGAGATGGAAATTATTAAATCATATCATAATACTCATTGTTATGATCTGACAGTAGAAATATATATCAAACAAGCCTGGTCGCTATGTTTCTTGATTTTCATAGTGACAGACTGAAAATTTTGCAAAAAAGAGATTTTTAGCTACTTTGAAATTTTATTAAGCCCAAACAAAGACTAAAATTCCATATTGATTTCAATTTTTTATTGTAGATAATTGACCGTAAAATTTAAGAAAATGTTCCAATTCACTGTAAAATTGATTGCCGAAGGATAGAAATATTTTGTATATCTATCATTTGTATGTTCTTCTTCGTCAGAAATTTCAGACATTCCACCCTTCAAGAAAAGAACAATACAAAAACCAACCACCGTTCACGGTAGCTCAGTCGGTAGAGCGCTCGCTCTGTGATCGGAAGGTCGTGAGTTCGAATCTCGGTCGCGACTGACTAAGGTCGACAGAAATAGGTAGCAACTGTTCCTTCGCCATGCGCTCGGCACTTTGAAGTGAAAGTTGCGGGTCCTTCGGATGAGACCTTAAAAACCGAGACCCCGTGTCACGGAAAACGCTGGCACAATAAAGATCCCTCACTGCTGAATGGCCCTGAGTGCCGAGTAAAGGTCAAAATTTGAAGCCCTTCAACGGTATATGGTGACGTCTCTATAAGAATGAAAAATTCTTGAATGGGACTTAAAACAACATACAATCAATCAATCAAAACCAACCAGGTACAAGAACAGCTTCGAATGTGGACATGGAAACAAGGATGCTTGCATGCTTGCAAGGAAAAATAGACATTGCCAATTATATTTTTATTAGCTAGACTATTTTCTTGCATCGTATATTTTTTGAATATATTTATTCAACTACGAAGCTTATCTTCCTTATCAACATCTGATACATATTAAATTTTCAAAAAGTGTACGTAGCGGATTCTTTGCCTTGGTCAAAAGAGGTTATTTGAGCTTTCTACGGGCATTTTAACAAAATAGCTTTGCCAAAATCAAAATTCTATATAGAATTTGCACTAAGACAAAAATTATAATTGGATGGTATTCTATTTAACAATAAACTGTTTTGTAGTTTCTGTACAACAATAGGCACATGAAATATTGAGATAACAAACAGTAATCAAGCTCAAAAGTCCATTGAAACTATACACATCGGTAGCAGAGCAAACACGGACCTCCAAAACATCAGAGGTGGGATCAGGTGCCATGAAGGAGTAAGCATCCCCTGTCGACCAGTCACACCCACCGTGTGCTCATTTTATGACGGGAAAACGAGAAAATCCGTAGACAATTCAGTGTTTGAATAATGGCCCAACAATTAGTATAAAAAACGTCAGTCAGCATTCGACTTCATGATAGATTGTATTTGCTGACAAGGTCATTGTATCGACCATAGAACTTGCGAAATGATGACTTTAAACGAGGCTGTTGATATCCTTGTTTCAACTTGTTGTGAATGAAAGTCACTATTGTTAATTGATAATACGTCGTCGATATATCGAAATGTCGAGTTGAAGGCCTCAGCAAGTGTTTTCTTCTTCTCATGTAGAAGTTTTTGAATAAATTCTGCTTCATATGAATACAAAAATAGGTCTTATAATCGAAAGGGGGGGGGGCAATTGGTACCCATGGGAATTCCGACAGAATGTTGGAAGACCTGATTTCGAAAAACTACATAGATATTGTCAAACAGAAACTCAAGCATCTCTTTAATATTAACTTCAGAGTACTTGTGTGTACAATCAGAATGTTTTTAACAAAATAATTTTGTAAATGATCAATGAAAAGGTAAAAAAGTAAATTATGAGTTTCTTTTTTTTTTTTTGAAAAAAAAAACCCAGCTGTCTATGATGTCAAAAAGCCTTGACTTTATCTATCGTGGGGAATGGTTGTATAAAGTGTTGAAAAGTCGCGCGTTTTAATGTTATTAATTTTGATACAATTTTGTGATTTCAAATTTTCTAAATGTTCATTAGAGTTTTTTTTTAGTATCCACATCTGATTAACACCACTTCTGAATATATTGTTGTACAATACTCACGAAGTTTCTCCTTCACTGCTGTAAATATTTTAGTGAGTAGTAAAGAAAGAGGCTTGGTAGAACTTTACTAGAATCTGATATGTATCTTTGTAAGGATTTTTATGAAGTTTAGGAATCCCATATAGGCATGATATTTCAAATTCATTTTGATTGTTGGGAATATTAAAAATATTCAAAACAGACACAAGATTTTGGAGAATTTCCTCCGTAGAAAGAATTGGATTACCACATGTAAAGAAACTCGGAAAGGAAAGATCAATAGTTAGAGTACTGGCTTCTCAACAAAGCCATGCATGATCGATTCCTGCATTTACGGCACATTTTCAAACTTTTGAAAGTAATGAAATAATTGCCATTCAAAAACAATACTTTGAAAAAATTTATTCTTTATACTTAACGGTTACAATGAACATTTTGATTATTGGTGTTGAAACCAATCAGCCGATTACATCACCCCCGGGATGAGATCTGCGGAAATAATATTTTGAATCATTTTTCAACACGTTCCTCAATAATGTATAATTGTCCCCAAGAATTTCAAATTGAATTGTTGATACTTTCGAGTATTCTCACAAACAAGAGGCCCATGGGCCTTGTAGGTCACCTGAGTATCCTGTAGCGACTTTCAACTGAATAAAGGTAAAATGTTTTAAGGAATAGATTTGCATCTCTAAAACCTACAATCACTATGGGGTCATGAAATACATGGGTCACTTCTTCTTTCCTGTAATAATTTTGAACCATTGCCATGTCATCAATGAATGAATTTAAAATTTCTACACAGGGCATTAATATGTATGACAATTGGTAAAATAAAGATCACTTACTCTTATCTGAATGCTCCTTTTTGGTATGCAAGTTATAATACATTTGCAGTTATAAGGTGTGGGACCCCTCCCCCCAATAACCTTTAGTATCATAGTTAATAAAATGGCTATAGTAACAGTCAGCTTGTGCAAGTTAAAAGAGTCCTGTACTAAGCAACTTTTAAGAATTGTAAACTTATACAGTCCCACTAAAGATTTAATATTTTTTTGTAGTGATAAACGTTTGCAATTTTTAGTTTTCATATGTTTTGAACAGCTTATAAGTTTATCTTTTAGTGGTTGATGCAATTTAAATATGCATACTTTTAAAAATAAACTGTGATATGTGATCCGTGATATACTGTAAATTAATCCTTTCCTTTCTTATTCCTGGAAACCTTACTGTAATAAAACTTGACACATACACAACAAATTATATCAGATTTATTGAGGTTTACATTCATTCAGGATATAATGAACTACATGTATATAGATGTTTATAATTATAATCAATGCAAGTTCTTGATCATATCAACAGTTCATAATAAAAAACATCTTAATCTAGAATCATACAATATATATTAGTGCATTTCATTTAAAAGAGAATATTGCTTAAATAATTGACTTATCATCAAGTGATATTGACTACCACTGCATTCATTAGTTGTGTCCAAAAGCAATGTGTTATATATTTCATTGAATCGTATGATTTTAATTATTTTGTTCAGTTTTTAATGCTAAAAGTACTTGATTGGTCATGCAACTGTCTGAAATTTTACCATCAATGTACGAAGCATTTTTCACTTTTATTTATAAATTACCATCTGAAAGAAGCAAGGTTTACCTCCCTTTACGGGCTGGCCATTGACCCCTTCTTTCCACACTACTTACCTTCAAAAAGTGTATGCTTCATGTCGTAGGTAATTTCAGACACTCACAACATTAAATAGATTTTATGAAATCTTAATTTGATAACTTTTAAAAAAACAAATTTGAGTCCATTATTGATAGTAAGGTCTGGGGCATGAACATGCACATTGGTCCCCTTAGCATATTTAGTAGTAATACATTTGTTTTTGGACATCTGCACATGTAGTAAAAAATTCAACCATTGAGTTATCCTAACCTTTTCAAAATATATTATCAAAAGGGTATTGAGCAGACAAATGCTACATGACAAGAAAAATATATGAAATTTAGTACATTGTTTAAATCATCTTGCTCTGGCAATAGCATTTCGAAGCAATGCAAAAATAAAACAAAACAAAAAAATTGTATAAAAATTTCCTATATCATTAAATACTATATATATAGAGTATGCGTGATTTAGTAATTTAAATTTAATATTTGTGCAATGGAAACTCATATTTTTATATATTTCAAAGAAACGGCAGTATTCAGTATTTTGAGAACTTCTTTAACCTTTCATACCGAAAGCGAAAAGAAAGATTAAACGTTTTTCATATAATGAGATACGAAGACCATGCAGGTTTCCAGATCATGAAACAGAATTAGACTCAAGTCAAAATTTCAGTTACACATAAAAAGAATATTTACTATGAACTGACACTTGAAAAATTACTATTATCATGAAAGGGAAATTTTTTTCAATAACATTTAATTTATGTATTAATTCTCTACAATAAAACTTTAAGATAATAAACTAATTCTGACTTAAGTTTAAAACATACAATTATCAAGATTTTCACTTCATATTTTACATATACAGTAAAACACGTTTATAACGAAGTGCCAGGAATGGACGATTTTCTTTCGTTATAAGCGTCATTCTTTATATCCGTTAATTTTCCAATATATTTTAAGGTCATAGGGAATGAAAATCACTTCACTATTCATTATAATCATGTTCGCTAAAAGCGTGTTTTACTGTAATCAAACAATGATATTGTATCTGCATGCTCCAACAAAGACATTTGGCTGATGAAAATTGAACAAAATTGTGGATTTTTACAATATTTGCCCTTTTTTTAAATCAACAATGTATTAAAAAGCTGTAGGTTTACATTAACGAAGGCTTAATAGAGCTTGAAAATGTATAATGAGTATAAAGTATAAGATAAATTTGGTAATATTTGTCAATAAAATTTTTTAATTACATATTATTTTTGGCAAAATTAAAAAAAAAACAATGTAGGGCTTAAACCCTGATCTACAATTTACTTAATAAGTAAATGCTTTCATGTACAATGAATGTGTACTTAAAGAAACATGGATGCTTCTTAGGGTGAATGTGGTACTATACATATATCACAATTAAGAAAATTCAAAATTGCCCATATCACAATTAGAAAATTCAAAATTGCCCATGTGGAATTGAGGAACATTTCAGTATTAACAATAAGTAAAACTTAATAAACTAAAATAACAAATGAATTCTTAAATATGACTATGTACAACAGAATACAGATAACAGTTTTACATGTAACACAAGGAACTAGTCTTTCCAGAACAAATTTTTGATTTAAAATTTTTATAAGTAACAGAGCTAGGAGTTGAGTCTTTTCAGAAACAAATGTTCATTTAATAGTTTTAGATGTCCACTGGGGCTAGTGTTCATTTTCAGGGAGAAAAGTACTCTGCATGTTTACAATGTCTTTGTAGAGATTAAGTCACTTGTGACATTGAGTTACAAAGTTTGCAATGAAAGTAGATAGTTATAGATATCATGATAATTGTATAGCTAATCAATAATTGTATAATAACTAATATACATGTGTATAGCACAAGAATGCTTTCTAATTCTTAAATTCAATATATCAGCACGTAAGATTAGAATTTTCCCCCCAAAATCGATGCCAATTTAAATGCCCATGAGATGAAATATTGGTTGTTATACTGTACATGCTATTACCAAAACAGATACATGTAGTACATTAAATACACAAAAATATATTTTGTGAAAAATAAAAATTAACAAAGTAAAACTTATTGAAAGAAATGCTATTTGATTGTATATTTCATCCAGACTTAATAGATCATGCATGTCACCATGGAGGCATGACCACAACAGAAAACATATATGCTATAAAGAAATAATTTATCAATTAATCAAATCTTGCAGACATATACCAGTGCAAGGACATTTTCAAATATTAAATATCATTCTAATACAAAAACATAGCTATACAACATTCCACTTATAGTTGATTTAATCTGATTTTTACAGAACTGTTAACATGTAAATTTACAATCTGCCAGGTATGAATTTATCTCCTATATCGAATATGTAACACAAAGTTTAAATTGTGGATAAACAATATAATAATTATATAAAAAAAAAAATAGATAAAAAAAAATAGACAGTACAAAGTGATCATAAATAAACTAAATAATTTCATCTCATGGGAATTATAACTCTTAATCTTTTTTTGTCCCAATAACTTTCCAATAAGCAGATCTATGTGATTAAACATTTATTATAAATGAAACAAACTGGAAGTTATTGGGACAAATAAGGTAGTTGATGAGTGGCAACCCTTGTTTTGTCCAACCACTCTTGGCAGTTTGTAAATATTTAGCTTCCATTGGAAACTAAATATTTACATACTGCCTTTGTTTTGCTTGAGAGGGTTTTACAATACTGTACAATGTAATTAAAATGCAGTTCTGTCATTAGAATAGCTTGCTTAAGTCACATCTGCAGCACAATAAATCATATTATGGTCAGACCAATATGCCTGAAGAACATCTGTTTGTATATCAGTAAAGCTGGTAAATATTAGGTCTAACTGTGTCTTATTCTTTGTGGTTACCTTGTTTATAATTTGCAGACAACCAAATTTTTCTTTCATAAAGTTCAGGAAATGTGCATATTGACCAGTACTTAAATCCAAATTAAAATCTCCCATTATCACAGTTTTTTCATCTTTGTTAACAAATTGGAGCAACCTGTTCTTCAGGGTATCGTAAAAAAGTTGAAGAGTACAAGAAGGTTGCTTATATAAAACTACACAGTGCATTGGAGTATTGGATGAGATAATAGAAATGATGGAAAATTCAACAGATTTGGAAGTGAAAGAGTTGTATGACACACACTGTAATTGATTTCTCAGAGATATAAGCCAATACCACGGTGTGGTCTGCTCTGGGAAGAACTTGCATCATTCCTGAACATTGTAAAACCCTCCAAAGTAAAGTCTTCATCAGAATCTAATTCACAAAGCCAAGATTCAGCTATACCAATTACATCTGCAGCCAAAACACTTAGTTCTGATTTTATATCAAAGAAGTGTTTGTGTAGAGATCTTGCATTGTTGAACAAAAATTTGACATCTTTACATACCGAGTAAAGTGGTGTGTATGAGAGCTGCAATCTATTTTTCCTCAATCTTTCCATCTCTTTATCAACATTTTCATCTTTTGAAAGACTTTTTTCATTGAAATCAAGAATGAACAGGCCATCAAGTGACCTTACCCTTGAGAGTGCAACATAACGTATATGAGGAATTTTGCGCTGCATTGTCTGTGCTCAGCTGATTACTGCCTTTGAAAGAGTTGCTCCTTGTGCTTTGTGGATTGTTTTTCCAGCAGATGGTTGGAGTGGAAATTGAACTCTCTCATAGGTCTTCCTGTTATATACAAATGTTCTTTTAGCTTCAAATATGGGAGTCCATGTAGCATTAACATTTGTGCTGATCAAAT